GTAATGAGATTCATTGGATGCAATGTAAACAATACCTTGCCTAAAGTTTAGATAAAGCCAACCACAAGCCTCACCAGAGTACTAACAAGTGCATACAGGTGCAAAGAAGCAATTAGCAAGCACTTTTCAAGTAAAATACCCAAATAAAAAGTTAGAAACTGGACACACCCACATCTGGGCCCGGGCATCAGTTTAGTTCCAGCTCCGCCACTGCCTTTAAGTCTTGCAACTCTTCAACTACAAGTCTACAACAGCTACATAAAAAGCAGCTCAGCTAGCTTTACACCATTAGCCACGCCTATAAATCAATGCCCACTCATCCAACGTGTTACCACGTGTCTAAAATGGTGCCTTTTTCATTCCTGACCACCTCTGCTCTGACCAGTAGCTTCATTAGCATCTTTCCTAATGGAGTGTTGCGTGATAAAGGACTGATGTAAGTAAATGAACTAATACTGTATGTACTGATTAAGGACTTTCCTTTACAGCTCTGGAGTGTCAGTTGAGACTTAAACATGAACCAGTTTCAGTGGTAAGAGAGAGAGAGAGTGTAATGAGACTATCATCAGTTGTGTATTATTGATCAGTTTAATTAATTGGATACTGTGCATTCCATTGGCTGGTAGGTATGGTATTGCATTGACTGGTAATAAATGATAAAATTAGTACAGACAATAAAAAGTGTATACTTGAGTACATTGTACTATACTGATGTCCCTTTCCCTTCCATTAGTGGTAGACTGTATTGAGTAATGAAATACCTACTGATGATACTGGAGTTGACCTTTGACATACACATACATGTACATGTACATTACATATACATTATACATGTACATTATTTGTAGGAGGTAGACCCTGAACAGTCAAGATTGGATGTAGGAAGTTTGTTAGATCAAAGGTATGGAGGGAAAGAGAAGGAGGGAGGTCTTTCATCTCCTCTCCTCTAGGAAGGACACAATCAGTGTCTTCACTTGTACTACATTACTAATCTATTTAATAGTTATCCTTCACTCAAACCAACGGAGGAAGGACTACTGGAAACAAGTAAGGAAGGAGAGAGGGAGAGAGTCAGTGATACCAGTACAATGTACATGTACATGAGTGGTTAATCATTGTAGTTGATTCCTTAGCACATCATTACACATCATTTACTGGTAGAGTAGACTACAATTAATTATTAATGTAACAATATGTTGTTTATCCTTAGATACTGTGTGGGTGTGTTACTATTATTAATAAATAAATACATTACATGTAAATACTATCAGTCAGTAATTAGAATACAGTCAGTGCATACAGTTAGTTAGTTGTATTAAATACACTGATAGATACAGTGAGTGTGTCTTATCATTGACTGTTCTAGTAATACATCTACAATACACCAATAGAACAGTGTCCTAGCTAAGCTAATTATCATCCAATGCTCATAAGTATAGGTTATACAATATAAGGTGGAGGTATCTATGTCATTTATTA